TTGGCTGGAATGGGAACAGCTCTGGCCAGAAAAGCGTAACAGAGTTTACACCAACAAAGGATTTGGCACAACTCTCTTATCTCCCCCTTCTCTTTCTTCCTTTTCTCTAATTTTAGAGATCAGCTAGTCTTATATTTGCAGCTTTCTTCACGTTTGTTGATGTCCAGCTTTGATCTACAACCAGCTTGAGTTTACTTTTATGCTCTGCTGAATGCTGCCTTCAGCCTCAATTTCAGAGCTGTGCAAATAAATTATAGCGATGTGTTTAATTAAAGTTCGCCTCATGTCCTGATTGCAGACTGTTGCCTTCTCAGATACAATTTGCAAATATATTTTGGAGTTTTATTTTAGGCAGGATGACTTGTTGAAGGTTATTTAATTGTGATTGATTGTGCATGGCATGTTTCTGCTGCCTTTATTTTGTGAACAACCTGAAAATAGTAGCTGAACGTTGAAGGACAAATGAAGGGCATTGGCCTGGATGGAAGGAGCAGATGTAGTAAGTCTGAACAGTCACAGAACTGAGGGTTGATGATTCTAGAATTGCATATGTGCTTTTTGGAGAAACCATCTTAATTCTAAGGAATGAACAATATTTATTAATATTAAATATTTTGTTTTATTCAATACTTGGAGTGTCTGTAGGGAATCTATTGCTGAAACCTTCTGTGGGTAGGCAGAACTGTGAATAGGAGAATATAAGGAATATGAGCTTGACTGTGTCATTGTGCAGAATCCATTCATTAATATGGGTCAGGAGCTTAGTATTTGATAAAATATATTCATCATTTGAGGTTACTGAACTGTAGCACTACCAACAGGCAGCATGAAGAGGAGAAGACTTTTCACCACAGCCATTCTGTGTGCTGCTTTGGGTTTGTTTTCTGCCAGGCTTTTAAGGGCTCAGTTTGAGAGCTGCTTTCTTATCTGCACTGACTGCATCCTCATTTTGGTGGTTGTGAGAAACATCCCTTCCTGGGTGTACCACCTTTGAGTTTTGTGTTGGGTTTTTTTGATTGGTTTTGGTTTTGGTTTTTTTTCCCCCCTCAGTGATTTCTTCCCTGAGTCTTTTTGCTGCCTTTTGTGCCCCTGGCAAGTGAGCCACAATCTGCCTCTCAGGCAGTGTGTTGGATACAGATGCATAATGCTGGTATGGAATCCTGCTCCTCAGTCAAGTGGACTGATGAGAATGTGATAAGACAAACATATTTCTGTTATTATTTTCAACCTGTTTATCTTATTTTTTTTTTAATTGCCTCAGAATTCACAAGAAAGCAAAGTTTAAAAAAAGTATCCAGCATCTTTAAGACCCCAGCTGCCACCTGCTTCATGCAGTTATTCATATTTTTCCTTCACAAGACCTGTTTTCCTCTGTGTTATCCATGACTGGATGAAGTATACTCTTTTATTCTGGAGATAATTGATAATGGAGATTTTATTTGTGGATAAGTGGAAGAAATTAGGATAAAAATCCATGACTGTCTTGATTGTGGCATTTTCAGAGTGTTTATCTTTTCTGTTTTGGGGGGATTCTGTTAGAATTTTTAAGGCAGAATGTTTACAACTCACTGAGCATCATCTCGGGATTTAGAAACTAATAAGTCGTCTAACATAAAGTAATTACTTTTCCTAAAAATGTTTGTTTTATTACCTACCCCTACTTCATTTCATGCATGGGGGAATACTACTGAACTCCACAGTGCACATCACAATTTGTTCCTAAATAGTCATATCTTTCAAACAGCATAGCTTGAAATGATTGGAGGAGTAAGTACCTAATTCAGATGAATAAAACAATTCAATCTTTAGCAGTTTCCCAGTTTTAGGGTAAGAGGATTTACTGTGGCATAGCTAAACCAAGTAGACAAGTGCTCTTTTTGGGCACCTGATAAAAGGATGAGTCCTCTTTTGTTTTTGAACAGAATTATCCTACCACAGGAAAGCAGTTTATCAAAGATGGGTAGTTGGGGGTGGGGTGTTTCACTTTTCAAAAAGCTGGTATGTGTAAAATGAGGATTATGTCATGTTGTAAGCATTTCTAAAAGCAGGAAAGAAAAATAATAGGAAATTTAATCTTTATTCATTTTTGGAGGTATTAGGAATGTTGTGACTAAAACAGGCCTTCATGCATCATAAATGGTCTGTCAGCTTCTGAGTGGGTTATTAAGAAAGTAGAAGGTCTGGATTCAATAGGATTATTTTGAGGCTGTATATTTTCAATGTTATTTTATATTATAAGTAAGGGTTCCAACTAGGTGAGCCCCAATCCACTAAATAAAACCAAAACTGGCTATTCTGAGCTAGTATTGCTGTACTGTATTTGACAAGATTTCATTAATACTGCAAACTATTCTGCTTTTTATTACAAACTTTACAAGTATTCAGGTGCAGAATAGAGGAAGGAGTAAGAAGAATTTGTGTAACAAATGTTACTTTGAATGTTACTTTGTTTTAAACTCTTCCAGTGAGTTACTGGCTTCATTTGGCCAGAGATGAACCATGTGTAATTTTACTCAAAAGAAGATTTAATTCAGTTTTTGTTTGTCATTTTAGCTGGAATTAGAGGTGATACAAGCTGTGCAGACCTCTGGGTGCTTGGCTGTACCTGCTGTTTCCAGAATGTGATAACCTTTGAGCTTTGACATGTATGTTTTTCATGTGGAAAGCGTGTGATGAAAGCCCATGAAGCTCTGTTATATTACACCCAGCTGCTACTTCATTACTTCTCCACATAATTAAAAAATGAGCTGTGCTTTTGCAGGGCCGCCTCTTGTTGAGCACGTGTTGCCTGGGAAAGACCAGTGAGCCGCTCTTGAAGCTGCAGTTTGCATCCATAAATTAACTAAGAACATCCAAGGGCAGCTGCTAAAGGCATTAATAATTGTGCAAACATGAAGTTTTGTTGTTTACAGAGCAGTGGATAGCACCCTGGAGAAGCAGCGAGCCAGAGGGATGTGCAGAGGAGCAGCACATGAATGTAGATGGGCAGGGAGCTCATTTCTACACAGGCATCCTGGAGAAGCAAATGGCCTGATACTTCGTTACCTTACAGATTTGGGCATTGATTTTGCCTCAGGAAAAGTCAGTGTGCTTTCTCTCATACAAATAATGACAGCCCTGATTTTGGCTCTGGAGGATAAGTCAGGAAAGCATCGGGTCCAAAGGAATTAGAGGCATCCCTAGAAATCAACCCAGATGTAACTTCCCATAACCTCTCAAGCCTCTGAAACACTAGTAATTATTGTGTCTAATGACGTATGAGTAGGCACAAATTAAAATAAAGGTGAGAGCTGCAGAAAGAGGTAAAAATTTTATGAACTTAAGCACCCTGGTAAATACCCTTTCCATATCTGAGGTAAATTCTTTAAAACTGGAGGTATGAGATTCTGTAAAACATAAAATACCTTTCCCTAGTATGAAATCTTAACTTGATTTTATCCTAGTTTTGAAATACTGTGGCCATACAGGGAAAAAAAAAATACATTGGCTAAATAGTTTTTGAGTTCTTTAGGTATCAAACCCCCCATGTATTTCAGAAGAAACAGTGTGAAGTATGAGCTTTCCTGTTCTACATTTCATTATTTGGTGTTAAATCTGATGTTTGCCTGTTCACAAGTGTCTTGTAACTGTGGCTGGCCTTTCCACATACTTGGTTTGTACAGCACTGATGACATGTTACAGACTTGGAAACTCATCTGAAGAATTCAGAAGAATTTAATAAGACAGGAATGCTGGCAAAGTTTTTGTGTGGTTTCAACTTGAATGTTGAGATGCAAACTCACACAGATACAGTTTTTTTATGGGTAAATACTTTCCTAAAATACCCATGTTCAGGAATCTACTAAAATTTCACACATCCTACACATCCAGAACAACTGTTGCTAGAATTTAAACAGTTTGTGTAGGGATACCCAAAATCAGAACTGTTGCCTTTGGCAATGAATCCATACTTAAGTTACAAAACTGAACTGAAAAAAAATTCCATCTTGTACTGCTCCTCTTATTTTAATTTTTAAACACTGATGTAATATTCTTGTGTCTACTTGTACTTGTGTTTTATGTGAGCACCGTGTAGGGATTTAGAGGTTCCAGAATGTCCTCAATGATGTCCTGAGAGCTTCATAACATTCTAAAATAGTAATGTACAAGACTGATTATCCTCTTACTTTGTTTTTGCCAGAATTTATTGCTATGAATATGTGAGAAAAATGCCCTTGGTCATTCTTAAATTATATATTTTTTTAAAAATACTTGAAAACTCATCTTGAAATATTTTTCCATTACTGCCAGTGCTTGACATTTAATAATAACTTAGAACTTGTACTATATTTTCTTGCAGAGTCCTAACTGAAGAGCTGAAGGTCTTCACATTCTAAACACTTTTAGATCAAGTGACTCTAAATAATTTCAAAACTATGTGTTAATATAAAAGTATATACATCAGAGCATGGTCTGTTATCCCTGTAGTTATCTGAGTATGATGCTTGGATGGATTAAAAGAAAATACTTCAGTAGTTAAATAAGATTTCTCAGGAGTCATGTGAGACCACAAAATAAAACTGTATATTGGTGGAGTTTCTGTTTTCTGTGTATTTTCAGAAGTGACCACTATAATCATTCATTTCCTGAAATACTTTACAAGACTCTAATTATTTTTAAGAAAATAAATGGAAGTTAATTAGTATCCCTTACACAGTTTTAAATAAATTCCTGTAGCTATTGAGGGGAAATTCTCATCAGAGTCATCATCTCTTATAACCACTGGGGGGAAAAAAAAAGGGCAGGGTGGGTAGTTTATCATAGCTGATGAATTGTGAATTAAAACCACCAAAAATTATCTATCAGATTGAACTTTTAAGGTCTTTGCTATTACAGATATTGGGGTAAGACAATTGCAGGACCATGCCTGTGCTTGTGCAAACAACTTTGTTTCCAGGCAAGGAACACCCTGAGTGATGTGTGGTTGTAGCTGCAGCCTGAATTTTGTCTCCTCTTTGCAGGCAGAGCTCGTTGATGTCCAGTACGGGACCATGGACGACCTGATCCGGATTCAAGCCATCACAAACGTGACCAAAAAAATTGCACTTTTGAAGCTTGGCCAATCACCTTTGCTTTATAAGGTTAGTTACACATCAGCAGAATTATCCATTTGCTGGGTTGTTTGGTTTTTTTTGGGTTTTTTTTGGTTTTTTTTGGGTTTTTTGGGTTTTTTTTGTTTGGGATTTCAGTTTCAAAATACAAAAAAAAAAAAAAGAGTTTCTTATTTTTCCCCAATAAGTCAGGACTTCCTGACATTCACATTCTTCCTCAATACTCACCACTGCCACTCTGCAGTGCCTTTTATGTGTCAGAGTTGTTTATTTTGCTCCATATCTTGCAGTGCCCCAGTACTGTGCTGTATTTTCTCTGGGTGTACTAGAAGCCTTTTGACAAACAAAGAAATCACTGGAAGAAATAATAAAGCAGAAGGGATTGTGTCTGGGGAGGGTGTACATGGGTGCATGTGTATCCATCTTCTCCAGCTCTGGCAGAGAGCACAGAGCACGAGCTCACTAATCCACTTTTGCACTAAATATAACAGACTCAACATATAAACCAAGTTTAAACTCTAAACGTCCAGGAACTACCTTCTGTTACAAATAACTTACAAACAAAAATGCTGGTTTGACTTTCAGAAAATACAGAAAGTATAGTAGCTCAGTAAATGCTTAAACAATTCATTCCCAATTCACAAAAGCAATTATAAAAGAGCAGTGACTCCAGATCTTGCAATTAAGTAAATCGGGACCTGCTCTGTTGGCCACAGAAAGCACAGCCAGGACTTCAACACAGATTCAGAAAATAACCACTTAATGTTTTTTTCTATAGGAATAAGATTTGTCTCAATAAAAATGCCATTTTCAACTGAGTAGCTTTAGCTGTTTATTTAAATTATTTAGATGCAGTGTAATTGTGCCCATGAAAGGTCAGTTGTCATTGCTGGGACTCGGTTGTTGCCCATCATTTCCAGCAATAGATCTGATCCTGGATTTCACTGCTGACAAAGCCAATGAAACAGCAATCAGGGCTCATAAAGCAGGAGTTTGATAAAGATGTAAAGTTTGCTGTAACAGCAGTGTCTGTGAGATGGACTTTTTTACCAATTTGTGTTCCTGTGAACACTCACTGTGTCTGAATTGCCAAGCCCAGCAGCCAGAAGGAGAAGGGCAAACCAGGAGGTGCTGAGGACAAGGCACATCTCAGGAGCTTTTTGTGTGGGTTGGCTGTAGCCTGGTCCCAAATATGTGCTATTTAATGGCTGAGGTGCATTAGCTACATCTCTGCTCCAAAAGAATCAGTTTTACACCTTCAGCATCTGTTATCCAGCACAAACCAAAGTGTGCTGTGATCAGGAGACTGACTCCGAATGTCAGGGTCTGGTATAAAATTATGACCACCCAAACCTACTTTCCATGTTCTCCTTACAGGTAGAGAAAGTTTGCCCCCTTTCTTGAGGTTGTGAACTAGCCTTATTTAGAACATAATTCGTGTCTTTTTGGCAGTGAAATAATTGTGAGCTTTACTTTGGTCGTACCTATCAGAAAAGGTGTAGAAAGATTATTAGAAGTAGATTCACCTTTCCTGAGGAGTATTTGGTGTGAAATACTGCCTTAAACTGCAAGTCCTGCTGGCTTAAATGGGCCCAGTATCTCTCTGCTGAATCCACTCTTTGTATCTTTTTCCCACCCTAGTGTTTATGTTTCTGTACTTACTGAGTCTCACATTTCTGTTTCAGCAGATATTTCCCTCTCCCTATATTTTCCTTATCTCTGCCTTCCATGTGCTTGGTTTTACATCGCATTAAAACAGAGCACTAGTTCATAAGAGAGCTCTGGCTATATATACATAGATACTTAGTGGGTTTCTTTCCACTTTTTTGTATTTAACTTGTATTTTTCATGTGTTAATTTCCTTAATTTTTCATTATTATTACTTTATATTATGCAAGTATCTCACACTGGATTTGAGTCTTATTATTATAGACCCTGCACTGAGGTTCCATCTTCATAACAGTTTCTAATTATGTCTCTATTTTTCAGTTGTATCTCCCTTGCACAGTTATGCTTTTTGTCTTTTTCTCTCTACTGCTGTTTTTTGTGTGGTTTTTTTTTCTATTTTTCCCCTTTTGTGTATTTAATTTGCCTTTTAAAAAAAATTTTGTCTGTTCTTTCTCTCTATACTGAGTCCTTTGGAAAAAAAACCTGAAGGAAATAATAAACTACTGCTGGCAGTAAAAAAAATTACTATGAAAACTGAACAACATTTCTTTTGTCTTTGCATCACCTTAAAAGAAAGGATGTGCTGGTAAGAAACAGCTTCATGTTCAAGGGGCTAATTTACAGAAATAAGTCCAAGTGATGAAAATTTGAATATTTGGAAAAATAGTTGTATAAATGACAGTATTTTTGCAGTATAGATGTAGTTGCTAGAGACTGGATAAGGTACAAAACTGGGAGAGGATTAAGGCTGAAAATAATTTTGAGCTTCTACTTTCAGCCTTTCAGACTATGCCCATCTCTCAAATCTTTAGACATTGAAAACAACAGAGTTCAGAGCTTGGAGCAATTTGAAATTGGAATGTACAGGGAATTTGGAGTATGCAGAAAAGCCTGAAATTAATGTGCTGTTAAAATATGCAGTTTAGTCTTAAACATGAGTAATTCTGATTAAATTTCATAAGGTTCACAAATTTGAGCTGCTTTGTGAGAAGAAGGTTTGCAGAAATCTGACCTGGAGTTATTTTTGCAATTGGATATGATTTTCAGATTTCTCTGGGAGTGTTGTATTTCTGTTTCACTGGATCAGAACGTGGTTTCTGCTCAGGGTGAGAGGGGCCTCAGCCAGGGCACCTGTCCAGAGCCACAGAGACACATCCTGATCCCTCAAGCTGGACCTTTTCAAACAAAGAGTGTGTTACCCCAGCCACATCATAAATTACAGCTGTAAAGAGAAAGAACCTGCACCCTACCTTTATAGCAGGGTATCAACAACAGCATTGACTCTGGGGGGGAAAAAACCCAACACAAAATAACAAAGAAAGTAGTTTACATCGTTGTGATCTAAAAAAAAAAAAAAGATAAAAAAGTGCAATGTATTATATATATTTATATATATATATATATATATATATCAAAGTGGAGCAAGGGTTTGAGAAGGGGGTTTTGTCATTGTTAGGGCAGTAAGATAAGTTATTGAGCAAGACTCCATTGTAAGATTAATATAAATAGTGGGAGAAGAGGAAGGCTAGACATGCCTCAAGCAGCAAGTAAGACTATTGCAAAGGCAGAATCCTTTTCAAATGCAGCTGAAAGGTTCAGGAATTTACTACACCCAGCACCTGGAGTGGCAATTTCCTACAGCAAGGCAGACTGAGGCAGTGGAGTGAGCTGTGGGCACCTGGGGAGCTCTCATGTGACAGGGAACTTGGCATAACCGAGTCCTTTTGGTCTCGTTAGCCACAATAATTCACAGTGCTGAAAAAGTGACAGAAGGAAAAAAAATCAAACTGTTTCAACAACTCCTGAAGGGATCTTGTGACCAGTCTGAGGCACTAGTAAGATCTGGATTGTTGCTGAATAAAGAAGGGGCTGGATTAAGGAAGAGGAAAAATTTTCTTAAGCATGGGGCTGAAATGAAACAAATGTCAAAGAGAAGTGAGGCACAGCTTCTGGAGGGAATTGCCACACAAAGAACATTTGTTTTCTCACACCTTGAGATTGAAGGTGACTGTCTCCTGGTATCCTGGCTAGAAGGGAAATTTGTGTTTTGGTGGAACTCGTGTTCTTGGGGTCACTGGTGAGGCTGAGTAGCCAGTCAGTCACAGGAGGTGAGAGCAGACTCCTGATGTCCTTCAACCATGAGGATCTATAAATGTGGCTGGTGAAAGATGATGAAGTTTATCACCAGTGATTAAATGAATTGCTCAAGTGGTGTAGAGCACCTTGAGTTGCCCACTGTGTTTGTAGACAACATATTCTAATAGCATGAAATGTGTGGTAGCAGAAAGATTGGCAAAAGCCCCTCGAGAGCATCCAGCCCCTGTGCCCCAGAGCTCGTCTGAGTGTGTGTCACTGCTCTCAGGAAGGCAGAGGAGGCTTTTTCAGGGAGAGCTGCACACTGGTTTCACTATCCAGCCTCTGGAAATGTCATTAACAGATTCATTTTTTGAAAAATGTTGTGTGTCTTGATCATGATTTAATCTTTAGGGGTTGCAATTCGTGAAAAAGCCATAATTTTTGTCCTAAATTAACTTTTAATAGAGTAACAAAAGCCCTGAAGGCCAAACCACTTCATCTTTAAAATGTTCACATATTAACATTTTTTCCACATCCGTGAAATGAAGATGTTGTTCTACTATGTAAATATCTATATTTATTTTAATAATTTACTGCCTTCATAAATATTCATAAAATTGCTTTTTAACTGTCATAAAGTTTAGGAATGTGAAGGCTTGGATGTTTATGCAGAGGTTATTGGCAGGCCCTAATAGATAGGGGTTTGCTAAATGGAAAATATTAAGGATTCCCGGAATAAAGGCAATTTGCAAGAAGGCTTCAGTTTAATAACTGTGTTAATTTTAAATAAGTTTACTTTGGAAAAAGTAATTTCACTTTTCTACAACGTCTACATTGTTTATTTTCTTCCCTCTGGTACTTTTTATGGCTAGCACATACAGTTGTGAAGATGATAGTTTACATTGTAAATCTCCATTTAACGAGGACCCTTCCTCCCCCTCTAGAGATACACAAATATATGTGTGTGTGTTTATATACATATCTACAACATGTGCATATAAATATACAAATAAAAACCATGTTAAAAAACCAAATATCTTTAAGGGAACATAAACACTTTATATGCATTTCATGCATTTCAGTGTTTTGGTTGGGTTTTTTTGTGGCCTTTTTTTTGGATAGTAGAATTTTTTTCCAAGTCTCCACAAGTTTTTATATACACACATTTCCCCATATGAGTGCTATGGGACTTTTAATGATATTGTATCCCTTCCTAAAGCCCTTCTTGAAAAGTCAAGCCACAGATATATTCAGTAAAAATAAAAATTATAGAAACATGTGAAACT